GTCTTAAATAAAGAAAATGGCATTTCTAGAGCATGGGTTGATTTTTATTTTTACTTATTCTTTGGGGATTTTCTTGCCTTTTATTAAGATGGAGGAGACAGCGAGACATGCAGGGAAGCATTAAGTCTTGCAACACCCCTAAATCATATTTTGTAATGGAAAAATGGACTTGATCCTTTTTTCTCAGCTGCTTGCGGTTCACATCGTTTCTTTTCTGCTCAGATTCCTTTGGGCCGATACACAGAGGACCACTTCACCGAGGCCAAAGCCCTGGAGGTGATCGACAGGTTCAGGATGGAGTTGAAGGAGATCGAGAAACACATTCTGTCTGAGAATGAAGGACTGGAGCTGCAGTACCTTTTTCTCCTGCCCAGTCGCATAGAAAACAGCATCACCATATAGAAACACTCCCAGACCGCTGAGTGAATCTTTGCAGTGCAGGAACTCCAGCGACACGCAAAGAAGAGCAACTTTATTGACTGACCAGCGTGTTTCGGCGTGTAGCCTTCATCAGGGTCATCGTAACACATAGTAGAAGTGTGCTTAAATAAAAGGCAGGAAATTAACCAATCACATCTTCATAGATAAACCAGCTGACATATGACAGGTTGGTATTGGTTAAGTCACATAAATACTGGACTAGATCATTATCTTAAACTTTGGAAATGTGTCCTTGTGTTATATGAGCTTGTTTTCTGTTCTTTAAATATGAACCAAAAACGTTTCTTTACAGACTATAGAAACATTTTGTAAATGGAGCGGTTCTATTGTAGCACTTTTCTACTCTCCCAGAGCAGCCAGTGCTTTACTCAGCACACACGTTCAAATAAGCACTTTTTTATGCTTAAGTGTTTTCTATCTAATATTGACTCGCTCATACTCTGATGGATGCATCTTGGGTTCGTATCTCGCCCAAGCATATTTCAAACCACCAATCAGCCGATGCCTCGCTCCACCTCCGGAGCTCCAGCCGCAGGATTTCCTGGAAGCTCTTTATTTGCATCTCGACCACTAACAGTTGGAATTGATGTGTCATGTCCAGAGTGGGCGAGCAAGTGAAAGGAAGTGTCTGACATGTCAGTTCCCAGCTGCTTGAGATCTGGCGATGGGTCAGATTAGAGATAAACCTGCATGTGCCGTGTTTGGAGAGATGAGTCGTTGTTTGTGTTCGCATTAATTATATGAATTTATTACTGTGGCACAGATATTTCCTTCTGTAGTAAGTTAAGTTTGCTCAGCCTGGATTAAATGGAGGTAATCAGTAAGTAGTACTTTTGACAGAATAACTTCAATGTTTAACTTTTTTACTTAAAACATAT